ATACAGTTTCTTATTTTGAAAAGTCCTCTTAATTTTTGGAATTTTATTTTCAGGTTTTGTTTTTTTGTTTTTTGTTTTTGCTAAATTTTTTTTTCAAATTTCATAAATGTCAAAAATAAAAAAAAAATTAAATGTTTTTATACAACGATTAAAAGTATAAAACATTTATCTTTGATTAGTTTTAGGCTTTAGCTGAATGTTTAGCTTACTATCATACACATGATAAGATCTTCACTGAATAATGGAAAAGAAAAAAGAACCAAACATCTTAAAGAGCATTTCCAGCAAGGAACTTCATTTTTAGGGTAAAAAACCCTCATAATGAGGGTTTGAGAATGGATTACTCCAAAAATAAATCTTAAAATTATTTTCAAAATTTTGTGTAATTTACATTTATTCCAATTTTAATATCAATACATACACACTTTAACACAATATTTATAAATACAGTTTCTTATAACAAAAACTACATAAAATAATAAAATACATATTAATTCATTAAAATATATAAGAAATAAAAATCACTCAATATTGTTATTTTCATAATCCCATATATGATCAATCAATGCATTTTGAAGTAAGAAATGAGTCTCTTGATTTTTTATCGAAAGTTTACGAGCTAAAAATTATTGGAATCGAGTATTTTCATTTATCGTTATTTCAATGGTTGCTTATGGTGCCGGTCTTGCATCTCTATCCGTTGCTAGATATCACGTTCATCTTTAATAATCATGTTTTGTATTACAATGCACACTACCATTATATCATGTAATATCTCTTTTCCAATAACGTGATGATCTCGTTATGATAGAAAACTTTGATTGTAGAACTCCGAAAGCTCATTCAATTTGTGTAATGTTTATGTGTGTAATTTTTAATGTAAGATATTTATGCTTGTAGTACTTTTAATCTTTAACTTGTAATATATTTTTTGATGTATTATAATTTTTGTGTGAAATAATAATTCTATTTTAGATAATATTATTTTATGTTAGGTTTATTTTATTTTAACATATTTTATATATTCTATACATTAATAATTATTTGAATACGTAAGTGAAATATAGTTATAAATTATAAGGTTTAAAGTGATAAGAAAATTAATACTAAGACAATTATATGTAAATTATAAAACTATAAGAGTTAAATTGAAAAGTAATTAATGTTTTGAGGACCTGAAAAAATATAATCTTAAATTTGAGGTTTCATTATTCATGCCTCGGAATTTGAGGATTGTTGATATGTTAGAGATATTGTAAGTAATGAACCCTTGATATGCTTATCAAATCATAAACAGCTGCTCTTTATTCTTTTTTTTTTTTTGAGAATAACGGCTCTTTATTCTTCTTTGCTATAACACTTCATATATGAAAGAGTATATAAAAGAAAATTTTACCTATGTTTTTGAAGGCAGTTATGAAAAAAAAAGAAGCAATTTACTCCCTTTGTTTCATTATAAGTGTCACTCTACAGCTGTGCACACGGATTAAGGAAACAATTAATTTTACATATTTTCTATATAAAAACACAATTACCCATACACCTAACCATATTTTAACCAATAGAAAAACAAATTACATAATAAAATTAATAAATTTTGCATTGAAAACCAAAAACGACACTTATTTTGTAACGCAAAAAAAATCTCTACAACGACACTTAATATGAAACGGAGGGAGTACAATTTACAATTTGGTAAGAAACTATTATATCACTTAACAGGTACTTTGTCAAACTGTAAAAAGGATTTAATTTTCGAAGAAGTTTCCAAGAAGATTAGAAGGAAATAATTTACCCTTTGTTGCATAGATTGTTTGGAGTTCGAGGTTTCTATAAATCAATGCATCACTGTTAGGTGTAGATATTTCATTTCTTAAATTTTTTTCAATCTGTTATTTATTTCGATATGAACTATAAATTTTAGATCCGTAAACTTTCAAATAAAACTAATAATAAAAATTAATATTGTTAAAGATAAATCAAATCAAAACTACTAAAATTTTAAGAATCGAATATCTGCTCTGCTCTCGCATATACATAAACACACACACACACACACACACACACACACATATATATATATATATATATAGATTAAATTTAAAGTTTTTTATACAGTTACTATTCTAGCATATCATTTAAAAATTATATTCACATTATTACTTATGAAAATTTTAAATTAAGGAAAACATATTTATGAAAATTAAAACTTTTTCTTAACTAATGTTTTATCATTTTAACTAAATTTAAAATTTAAAAATTATATAGTTTCACTATTTATTTACTTTTTATCTTATATATCATGTAAAAATATTTTAAGAAAAAAATGTATGTCAACTTTTCTAGATTATTTAGATTTAAAAATAGATGAGACATCCATAAGAATTCGTAAATATCTGTAAATATGTAAATATTTCAATTATTAATTTTTCAAATATCTGTATTTTGAATTAAACAAATAATAAATTAAATATTTATAATATACAAAATAAATCACAAATACTATAATTTCTACTAGTATTATTCAGTGTCCACCCCCAGTCAGTTTTTAGATCTATGCACATTGATCGACAATTCCATATATGAAGAACGATGTGACGACGCAATATCACAATATATGAATAGTTCCAATATCTCACATTTAAGGATTTAAAACTAATCAAACAAACAAATTTAACATATATAACAAAAAAAAACTCATTTAACAACAATTACGATCAACCCTAAATGAAGACTTCCAATCTAATACAATATTATTTTACATGTGATTTAAATATAATAATTTCAACTACTTTTTTTTTTTTTTGGTTACTTGATATAATGCAACTGCGCAAAATAAAGTAGTTCAAATTATTATATTTAAATCACATGTAAAATAATATAATAACATAACGAATTTAAACATTTATAAATAAATGAATTACAAGTATTATTTAATCATTTTATGAATGCGCATGACCTCTGATGAGTTAGCTAATTAAATATATTTTGGATACTTTCTACACAGCATATCATAATAAATTTAAGACCATGAGACAGTTTAAACGATTTATTTTTTTGGACTGGCCTAATTGTGATTTGGGTACCTACATAAGATACACACTGCATATTATAAGTTATTATCGTAAATAAACACACTGAATGTTTTACTCTATTAGATAATCTAATAGCATATGGACCTCCAATTAGATTATATATAATCTGTAGACAAAACTGATTTTATCATAAAGAAATTGTTTGTAAAATCTCCGTGACGGTTGATATAACAATAATTCATAATAATCATAACCAGCAAATAGATAAAAGCAGCACATGGAAGCCATTTGCGCAAGGATCATTCTTGTAAGAACCCATTACCAAAAAGCTGATAATAATGATAAAAACAGCAGAGACATTCGAACCATATAATTAAAAAACAAATAATTTCCTGTAAAGAAATTAAGCTAGATTCGACTTCGATAGTTTGATCTACATGGTGTATGAACAAAAGAAACAAAAATAGTAAACAAAACTGAAGGATCTATGTAAAGTCAAAAGGAAAAAATAAATTTAAACAAGCTGTAACTGCAGATCATGTTATGTCTTGTAGCTATTTAATCCTACAACCTATAAGATTCTGGTTTCTTGTAAGAAATAATAATACTATATGTATAGCATAAACTTATGTACTCCTACATGTATACTATGCAGGCTATCCTAATAAATATTTTTATCGAATAGCCTAATAATTTAATTTGTCAAATTTATGATCGGATATTTTTACTTTTTCAAAGAAATTTTCAGATAAAACGATGAATTCAAATACTCATTTATTTCATTATAAGTGTCACTCTACAGATGTGCACACGGATTAAGGAAACAATTAATTTTACATATTTCATATATAAAAACATAGTTGCCTATACATCTAACTATATTTTAACCAATAGAAAAACTAATTACATAATAAAATTAATAAATTTTGCATTGAAAACCGAAAACGACACTTATTTAATAACGTAAAAAATTCTTACAATAACACTTAATATGAAACGGAGGGAGTACGTTTTAACGGCTTTTATTGACAGAAAAATGCAGTAACAAACCGGTAAATGAGCAGAATATTTTTTTGTAAAAAATGAAGTAGGCTCTAACTAGTGACCATTAAAATAGGAATAGGAATGAGTAGAAAAATAATAAGTAGGAATAAAATAAAAGGAATGAAAATGAATATTTATTATTTTGGTTCCATATCAATTTTGAAAAAAAATGTTTTTGTTCTATAATTCCTTAGAATTCAAGGAATGACAAGAAATCATACGCATAAAATATTCCTTATGAATGATGTATTTTTTAAGAAATAAATGGAAATTGATTATTCCCCTTCGTTCCCTATGTTTAGATCCTTTATTTTCGGTCATTGGTAAAAATTGATAAGGTGTTTAGCCAAAAGTTTTATATTTTCAGATATTTTCTTTTAGTAATTCATTATACTGGGTGCTAATTACAAAAAAAAAACTTGTGAATATTCAATGATTAATGAACCCTGGAAACTGGAAGTGCAAAAACGCATTGATTATAGTATTTAGAGCATCTCCAAAAGACTCTCTATAACTTCAAATATAGAGTTTTTTGCTCTCCAAAAAGAAACTTCAAAACTTCAAATTTGAAGTTTTGGGGAGTGAAACTTCATATTTGAAGTTTCACTTCTCAAAACTTCAAATTTGAAGTTTCATCTTTTTATTTGCAATTTGGTCCTTATATTTACATATCTTATTTATGATTCTTAAATATTTTCTTATTTATCATTTTAATCTTTAAAAAACATTATATCTTACAAATCTTCAAATTTATTTCTATAAATTAAGATTTACACATAAGATTAAATAAAAAAAAATTATATTATTTTAAAAGTAGAAGTAGACAACAAGAATATTACAAAACAAACTTAATTAAAATTATTTTTTTAAAAAGGTACATGAAAACATAATTATTATAAAAATTTAAATATTACAACAGCACTAATAATTTGGTAAATCTCCCCCGAAAGCTCCAAAATCTTCAAATCCAAACAAGTTTTTTGTAACCGAAGATGGTTGTTCTTGTTGTTCTTGACGTCTTTTACGTATGATTCTTTCTTGTTCAGAACGAATGTACTCACGAGTATTAATATCACCGATAGAAGCTAAATTTTTTAGCAATATTTTATTTTCCTCTTTTACTTCTTTTAAAGCTAACTTTCTTGCTTCATTTTTCATTCGTAATTCAATCATCTCATGATTTTTATCTCTGCTTGTTGCACTTTCTTTTAAAAAATCAAGGATTTGTTCATTGGATGATATCAAAGTATCAGCCACCATATTATTACCTTCCGTAGTCTTCCTTTTGAGTTTTGCTTTCTTTGATCCAATAGGACGGGAACTTGATCCGCCATCATCACTACTTAAATTGATTGAAAATGAAGGCATTTTCGGAGATTGTGATGTCGGAGAGCCGAAAGTATTGCTCTCAGTGTTAAGAGTATCTGGGATAGATATGTTGACATTGCTTGTAAACTTTGGAACATCCTTCATCATTACCCACACATGATCAAACTTAAAACCTTTTTTCAGTTTTGGATCTTGTAGCAAAAGTTTCTTAGCCTTCTCCATCTACAAAGTAATAAACACAAAAATTGGTTAATTACAAAATAAATATCAGATATATATAGAGTAAAAAAAATACTTACAATGTCAAATTCAGATGCACCACTAGGATGCATATTCTCCACTTGTGTTATGCAGCTCTTTAAATTTCTAACAGCGTATGTAATAGTATTCATTCTACTTTGTAGAGATCTTGTGCTTCTACTTTCCCAACTCTCATTTTTTTTTTCATTGTAACTCTTACCTATTTTTTCCCACAATTTCCCAAGAGATTGGTTATTGCTACCAATGGGATCTTGCGATATTTCTAAATACACACAACATAAGAGCTCATCTTCTTGTTGATTGAATGATGAGCCTCTACTTTTCTCCATATTTTGTTTTTAGAAAGAAAGAAAAAGATTAGAGTTGTGAATTTCTTATTGCTTGAAGTCTACTATTTATACACAACAATGGTTCAATAATAATTTAAATGAATAAACATAAATTGATTCCATTGGTGAGAGAGTAAGGTCCAATGCATGATAAAAAAAATTAATCTTTTCCAAATTCTTTTGTAATATTTTCAAGATTCAAATATTGGTTAGATAGTGAGGTCCAATGCATGGTAAATATTGATATTTTCAAAATTTCAAAGATTGGTGAGATGGTGAGGGCCAATGCATGATATACATTGTCCAATAAAAATGTATGATAAGGATTGGTGAGAGGGTAAGGTCCAATGCATGACACAAATTGATTATTTCCAGATTTTATTATTTTAAATATTAATATGTAGATATGTGCTTATAAATAGACATGAATTACAGCAAGTATCACATCACCACAACTTACCTAAAATGAATTTTAATATTGGAAGTTCTTCTTGTTTTGTAAACTCTTCTTCCTCTTCTTCCTCTTCCTCTTCTGAGTCATCTGAAATTGATGAATGGTTAAAAGATGACAATGCAGCAAGAGAGATTGAAGAACAAATTGCAACCAATTTGTTAGCACAAAACAACTTTCTAATTCACCAGTTCACCCAACAAAGCGATCGCGTAAGTCATCGAGGATCTATTCATGGCCATGCAGTTATACATCGTGATAGAGAAAATGCTCATTCTAATTTGTATAATGATTATTTTTCTAATAATCCCGTGTATGGCAAAAGAGAGTTCCATCGTCGGTTTCGAATGTCACGAGAGTTATTTCTTCGCATTGTTGATGCTGTTACAAAACATGACAGCTACTTCCATCAAAGACGTATTGCATCTGGTAGAATGGGTCTATCAACTTTGCAAAAAGTTACTGCTGCAATTCGAATTTTGGCGTATGGTGTGCCAGCTGATGCTACAGATGAGTACATCAAAATAGGAGAGTCTACTGCCATTGAATGCATGAAGAGGTTTTGCCGAGCAATTGTGGAAGTGTTTTCGGAGTGGTATCTCAGGTCACCAACATCAGAAGACGTTGCGAGGCTTCTCAGTATCGGCCAACAACGTGGATTCCCTGGAATGTTGGGTAGTCTGGATTGTATGCATTGGAAGTGGAAAAATTGTCCAACTGCATGGGCGGGACAATTTGCTGGCCGTAGCGGATCACCCACTATCATTCTCGAAGCAGTTGCAGATTACGACTTATGGATATGACATGCCTATTTTGGTATGCCCGGTAGCAACAATGACATTAATGTCTTGAAGTCATCCAATTTATTTTCAAAGCTTGCTCAAGGTATCGCCCCTCCAGCTAATTACGTTATTCAGGGAAACGAATATAACATGGGTTATTATTTAGCTGATGGAATTTATCCAAAATGGTCAACTCTTGTTCAAACAATAAGCAATCCCCAAGGTCCAAAGAAAAAATTGTTTGCAGCAAAACAAGAAGCATGTCGAAAAGATGTTGAACGTGCATTTGGAGTCTTGCAGTCCAAGTTTGCTATCATAGCAGGATCATCTCGTTACTGGAAGAAAGAGGTACTGCATGATATAATGACGGCATGCATTATAATGCATAACATGATAATTGAGGATGAACGTGATATTAATGCGCCGATAAAAGATACAAGATCAGTGGCAGAAGCAACTGTTGATATGGCGGAAAATGAAGATATCCGTTTTCAACAATTTTTAGCTCGTAATCTACAGATTAAAAATAAAGAGAGTCATTTCTTACTTCGAAATGCATTAGTTGATCACATATGGGAGCATTACGGAAATGTAATGGAATAATGTGATATTTTGTTTGTATTTTAATATTTAATTATATATTTCTATTTTTAATTTTATATTTTCATGTAAACTTTTATCAATTAATATTGTTGTAATATTTTTATATATGTGTTTGCTATTTATCAAAATTTTATGGATTTTCATTAATTGTAACCAATATAAGGACCATAATGTAATATACAAATAATTTTGAAGTTAGTTTTAAAGTTTTTCTTTTGGAGAAGAATAGTTTGAAACTTCAAATATAGAGTTTGTGAAACTTCAAAATAGAGTTCCTTTTTGGAGATGCTCTTATAAAACTCTGCATATTTTGCAGAGAGAGCAGGAAGAGCGGTTTGGTTTCGTGTGTGAGCTGTTTCCCTTTCACATGGTCTCAAGTCCTCTTTAAGTCTCTCTTCTTCTACCTCTTGACTCTCTCTCTAGCGATGCGGTTTCTTCCTCGGAAGCCATGAAAATAAAACTAGTTTCACCGATCTTCCTCTTCTTCTCATTCTCTTGTCTTCTTCTTGTCTCCTCAGGTTTAAACTCTGATGGAGTTCTCTTGATGAATTTCAAATACTCTATTCTTCTCGATCCTCTGTCTTTGTTACAGTCATGGAGCTACGATCACGACAACCCCTGTTCCTGGCGAGGTGTGTTGTGTAATAACGACTTCAGAGTCGTGACCGTGTCTCTCCCAAACTCAAAGCTTGTCGGTTCCATTCCTTCCGACCTGGGTTTCCTCCAAAACCTCCAAAGTCTCGATCTTTCCAACAATTCCCTCAACGGCTCCTTACCGGCTGAGTTTTTCGCCGCCGGTGAGCTCCGGTTTCTAGACCTCTCAAACAACTTATTCTCCGGCGAGATCCCCGCGACGGTCGGCGATATGCACAACCTCCAGACGTTAAATCTCTCCGATAACATCTTGGCGGGAAAGTTACCAGCTAACTTGGCGTCTCTTGAGAGCTTAACGGAGGTTTCTCTCAAGAACAATTATTTCTCCGGCAAACTTCCCGGCGGATGGAGATCGGTTCAGTTTCTCGACATCTCCTCGAATCTGATCAACGGTTCATTACCGCCGGATTTCTCCGGCGACAGTCTCCGGTACCTGAATGTCTCCTACAACCAAATCTCCGGCGAGATTCCTCCTGATGTCGGCGACGGTTTTCCTCGAAACGCCACCGTGGATTTCTCATTCAACAATCTAACCGGTTCGATCCCGGATTCTCCGGTTTTCCTTAACCAGAAATCAATTTCGTTTACTGGAAACCCGGGTTTATGCGGAGCTCCGACCCGGAACCCGTGTCCAATTCCCTCCTCTCCAGCCGCCGTCACACCGTCATCTACGCCTGCGCTCGCAGCTATACCGAAAACAATCGGGTCAAATCCAGAATCTGACTCGGTCGGACCGGAAAACAATAAGTCGGATAACCGAACCGGGTTAAGACCGGGAGTTATAATTGGGATCATAGTTGGAGATATCGCTGGAATCGGAATCCTCGCTCTTGTCTTCTTCTACGTTTATAGATACAAGAAGAAGAATAACATGCAGAAGAACACACAAAGTTTAGAAGCTAACGAGGTTAAAGACACAACTTCATTATCACCATCATCATCAACAACTACTTCCTCTTCCTCTCCGGATCAATCCAATAGATTCGTTAAATGGTCATGTCTACGTAAGAATCAAGAAACAGATGACACGGAAGAAGAAGACGAGGAAGAAGAAAATCAAGAAGGGCCTGGAGAGAGCAAGAAAGGGACGTTGGTGACCATTGATGGAGGAGAAAAGGAGCTTGAAGTAGAAACTTTGCTAAAAGCCTCTGCTTACATTTTAGGAGCAACCGGTTCGAGTATAATGTACAAGACGGTTCTTGAGGACGGTACGGTTCTTGCGGTTCGTCGGTTAGGTGAGAACGGTATAAGTCAACAACGCCGGTTTAAGGACTTTGAGGCACATGTCCGAGCCATTGGCAAATTGGTACACCCGAATTTGGTTCGACTCCGTGGATTCTATTGGGGCACCGACGAAAAATTGGTCATTTACGATTTTGTCCCTAATGGCAGTCTCGTCAACGCACGTTACAGTGAGTCACCATCATCTCTTTTTTCATTTCAACCACTCTCTTTTTTATGATAAACGCTCATGTTAGGAAAATAGCAATTTGTAAAGGCACATGTTAGTGTAACACGCCAGGATCATGTTTAGGTTGGTGGTAGTTAGATATGTTTTCGTAAGTCAACAGTGGTCCAAACTTTGCTTAGTCGTGCTATCTTGCGCATGTTTGCTGACTTTGTTTGCGATTGGATAGGGAAAGGAGGGTCGTCGCCGTGCCATTTACCGTGGGAGACTCGGCTCAAGATAGCAAAAGGTTTGGCTCGTGGGCTTGCTTACCTTCACGAGAAGAAGCACGTGCATGGTAACTTAAAACCCAGTAACATACTTTTGGCGCAAGACATGGAGCCTAAGATTGGTGATTTTGGGTTAGAAAGGCTTCTTGCTGGCGATACTAGCTATAACCGAGCTAGTGGATCATCTAGAATTTTCAGTAGCAAGCGATCAACAACCGGATCCACACGTGAATTCGGGCCTACACCGAGCCCGAGTCCAAGCTCGGTAGGGCCAGTATCGCCTTATTGCGCACCTGAGTCGTTACGCAACCTCAAACCGAACCCGAAATGGGATGTTTTCGGGTTCGGGGTGATCCTCCTCGAGCTTCTTACAGGGAAAATCGTGTCGGTAGATGAAGTTGGGATTGGAAATGGACTGACGGTAGAAGATGGTCACCGTGCGCTGATCATGGCTGATATGGCGATCCGGTCCGAGTTGGAAGGCAAAGAAGACTTGTTACTTGGTCTATTCAAGTTGGGTTATAGTTGTGCATCTCAAGTTCCACAAAAGAGACCGACCATGAAGGAGGCTTTAGTAGTCTTTGAGAGATTCCCTATGAGCTCGTCGGCTAAGTCTCCATCGTACCGTTTCGGACACTATTAATATTCGTTAGCACGCTAACTTTGCAAGCCTCTCTGTGAATGCCGAAGTATATATACATTAAGCAACTCGTTCGTGTTATGTGTTCACTATAATATTTTTGTACGATTTTTAGGATAACTGTTTTTTGCTTTTGTTAGTGTTTGTGTGGCAAAAAAAAAGAAGAGGATATTGGTTATGATTTTGTGTTGATAAAATAATTCGTAATAATGTTGTCTTGTCGTTGTATCATAACCAGACTTTTAAACTTGGTATTTGTAAGTAAATCCCGGAGCTACTTAATTAGTGAAATCGATTGATAAAGACGAAGGAGGAGAGGCCTCTTGTTCTCATCATAGTCATATTATGTGTCTAAGATTGCTTGGAGATTCTAAACATTTGAGTTTTCTTCTGATACTTATTTACTTGTTGGAACACTATTGAAATTTGATCGTAGAAGTTTTAATGCTCCTTCCCACTTTGGCGTCGGATGAAAGTAAAAGGTCAAGTTAGAGAATGCAGATGCTGATAGGTGATAGCTTTGAAAGGAACATAATTAGTCGAAGATCAAGGTGAAGTATAAGTAGTTGGCTCTAATCACTTTAGAGAAGTCATTAATGTGAGAATATGTTTAGGTTCTTTTGACCTATTTGTCTCACAATGAGTTAAGGTTTTTATCCTCTTAACTCAACCAAGTGATTCCGTGGCTGAGAGAATTTTCTTCCTACAACTAACATAACTCTACTAATTTTCTGCATCCTATTTATATACAGCCAAGCTCTGCATTTCAATCTGCCATTTTGCTGGCATTCCAGGGAGAAGCTTATGTGCGAACAGCAAAACATTGCATTGTCCATCAAAAGTGGCAAAATATAGCATCTTTGAAAATGTCCTAATCAACCAAATCAGACATATCCATTTAGTTTTACGTTTTTCAGCCTATTATTCTAACCCATTTAGTCTTCTTCTCAAAATTTACCGATAAGTTTTATCATTTGTTCATTCTCAGATCAAAAACCACACATACCAAGTATAGTGATGAAGAAGTATCTTCACACATGACCTGCACTTTTGTTGGACAAGTCTTTTCTTTCACTTTCCCAATGTTTTGGGTCTTTTTGTTATGGCTCATGTACAAGATATTTTATGGAGTCAGCTCCATCTCTTCTTCGATGGTGGGTCTTTTTATGCTCTTACATTGTTGTTATATAAGACGATCTCCATCCCCGTTCTATAATTTTTTCGGAATAAATTATAGAGTGTAAATATAGATGCCCTAATACCATCTCTAATGATTCATTCTATTTTTCTCTCAAAAAAAAAATTATAATAAAATTAAGTTTTACTCCAATGATATTCTATTTTTTAGAGTGAAAATAGAGTTATGAACAAAACAAAAACAACTTACTTTATATAAAGAATAGAGTAAACCTATTTTTTACTTTATTATAGTTTAACAAATAAAGTACCATTGAAGTACTTTTATTCTGAATTCTATTTTAGAGGGAAAATAAAGGTGTGTTAGTGGGAATTGAATTCATAAGGATTCTTATAATTTTGAAATTTTGTGTTACTGTTTTATTGATTCTTACATTTTTATTAAAGTTGTGTTATTGGTTTGATGATTTTGTAATTCTATACAAAAATCTCTTGTTATTCAAAAAGTCTAGATTTTAATAATTCTACAAATCTATTAAAGTAAGTGTTATTGAAAGTTATATTTTAAACATTTTAACTCATATAACAAGATTTTGGAAATATTTCATATATCCTTTAGATTTTTAAAATTATTATAATACTCTACTTTTATAGATTTTCATAATATACAAAATTCTCTACAACTCTTTTCAAATTTAACAAATTTCATAGTTTTTAAAATCAACACTCTATAGAAATCTAAATCCCACCAACACCCCTATAGTGGAATTGAAAATGCCCTATACTAATAGGGCAAACCAAACCGACTATAAAGTGGCAATAAATTCCCATAAAGTTTACTGGTAAGAAAGTAAATTGTAAACCAGATTCGGTTACCGGTTTGAAAGTAAGTTATAAACCGGATACCACTAGCTTGTTTCACAATTCAAACTAATTTCTGTACATTTGCTTGATTCAATTTATACATTTGCTTGATTCAGTTTATGTGTCTCTCTTTTTTCTGTCATTCTTTCTACTTTTAGAATCTTCGTCGGTAACATAGTTCTTTATTATCATAAAAATCAGCACACACTAATAAAAACATAATTCTTTTTTATCATAAAAAACAGCACACACTAATAACACTAATTAAAGAACCACATTCGTAGAAGGTGGCACACGAGAGAGCATTTTTGAGAGAGAGAGAGAGAGAGAAGAGATTTCTAGTACGTAGTCATGATGGTCTTCTGATTTCACTCGCCTAGAATTTCTTTAGCTCTATCCTTCTCAGCCAAAGCCATCATACCTGAAACAAAAAAACAGACGAAGGAATGGAGGAGGGAAGCTTCGTGCAACATGGCTATCTTTGCAGCTCCTGCAATCGTTGTAAACGCAAACTGTCGAGTGTGTAACGACAGATGAGTGTTCAAGTTTGCGAGGAAGATGCTAATAGCGTGTGCCTCAGGGAGAGTGATTTGCATTCGAGCATTCTCAAACTTGTCTAGAAAGTCAGTAACAGAGTCGGAGCCCTGTTTAAGAGTCACTAACTCTGCTAACGGGTCATCGTAAAGCTCACTAAAACGACCTGAGATATCGACTACGTACTCAGTCCAGGAGGGAAACATACCAAAACGAGTGCTCATGTAGTTTTGGTGCCATTGGTTTGCTTTCCCGGTGAGATGCAGAGCGGCGAGACGGACTTTTAGGTTTGGGGGTGTTCCGTCAATGTCAAAGAACTAGTCGCATTTGGAGATCCAATCACGCAGTTGAGTGCCATCGAAAGATGGAAACCCAATCTTCGCGATACGAGATCTTAGAGGGTTGTGAGGGTTGCGTTTGTTTTCGTAGCTGGTTAAATCAGGGGGATCTGGGAGTTGGTGTGGGGTGTGGTTTAAGGGAGTGGGTGGGTGGGAAGGTCCGGGATCTATGGGGGCTTTTCCGGCGGCCTGGATAGGGGAGACGGAGTTGAACATCATCGCTTCCAGCCTGTCGAAGCGTGCATTGAGAGAATCGGTTTGAGATTTGACCTCAGCAGCTAGGACGTCGTGAAGAGAGCGGATCTCATCGACATGTTTCGTCAGAGAACGTTCCTGTAGACGAGTTTCCACCATCGCAGCTCCGAGTATCGATCTGCTCTGATACTAATGTAACAGGATTAGTAAAGATAGATAAAAACCCTAACTAGGAGACTCTCCGTGAGTTCTAAGAAAGGAGAAATCAGGACTAGGGGGTAGCCACAAGGGTAGAAGGACCACCTCTAAGCACAAGATTCCGTGATGGTAGATGATGACGATGAACAGAGAGAGAGATTAAGGGATAAGGTTTATGATAAGATTATGATAACGTTTACAAAGGACAAAGTTTGGTACTTAAAGGGAATCTAAGACTGGTCTAACAATTGACCTTAAACCGATAAAGCGACAGAGAGCTAAAGTTGAACCGGGTTTAACATAACCGGGGTTATTTGAAAACAAAGCCTAACGGCTAGTAACTAAGATAAAGGGATACATGAAATTCCTGTTACAGAATAAGACCACCGTGGTCGGGTAGGGGAACAGAAGCATGTATTAGTTATATTCCACGTGAAGCGAAGTGTTTTCTCAGAGCCGTCTCAACATCCTCCCTACGACTACGAGGGGAGGTGTCGTATCCCTCATCCACCAGCCTGCTAATGCTATATATTGCAAAAAAGGATATTATATAAGTTAATTACCTCGGGACAAGAACACAACACATGATCTATCTTACTAGTCTAGATATACAAATCTCAAAAAGAAACGAACATGCCCCCTGCTGCATCACTACCGTTCAATTCCAGACCCTAAGGTACAAAAGATATAATCAGCTATGAAGTAACAAGTAACTCGAGAAACAGAAAGCTGATGGAAGAATAATTACTTTGATTGTGGATTTCCCCATGGTGAATCCCCTAGGTTTCTCCAGGATTCTCATAATGCTGTTGCAAAGAATTTTATTAACCACCATGAGATAAGATCACATGATCTTATCTAATTAAAGATACAAATCTCAAAAAGAAACGAACCTGCGTTTTTGAATCTCTGCATCACTACCCTTCGATTCCAGACCCTACGTTACAGTCGATCTAATCAGAAAATCATACGAAAAAGAAACAATTAACTGAGAAAGCCAAAAATAATATATTTGTTCGCAGATTCGTCCATGGCGACAGCTACGCTAGGTTTTTCTAGAGCCCTTGAAGATATTTTGTTGGTAACATATATAGGCTCCGATTGGTATTTTAGCTTTATAGGCTTTAGGTTTTGTAAAGTCATTAAAATCAAAATTTTAAATACTCAGACTTTAGGTTGACCACGTATTTGAAAGCCAATTTTTAAAAAGATTATTTTATTTTGTTCATGTTTTTCTAAAGCCATAATTTCAGATTTTAGATAAAAACCAAAGTTTAAAAAACCAAAGCCACAGTCTAAAGCAACAGTCCGTACCAATAGGAGCCATAGTTTGCTTTCTAGTTTTACTCTGTAATCCGCCTTAGAAAAATCAAACCAAAAGACCAAACCGATATCTTCAACCGAATCTTAAAAATAAACCGTAAACCGGATTTAGTCAGACCCCCCAAAAAAAAAAATCCCGGATCCGAATCAACCAAATCTCCGTCTCTTCCGTTACAGTTCCCAAGGCAGAGAGAGACGAAAGAGAAGTTAGAGAAAAAAAGTGCTTCCATGGAATCCGTTCCCACGGTTGATGTACCCGCATCAACACCAGCACCACCACCAATAGTCACCGATGATCTCCAATCAAGCAACGCATCATCATCCCCAGCCGACGCCGCGGCACGTTTGATCCACGCCGTGGAGCAGCGGCAACAGCATCTACTCGACAAGACGGTGCCTCACGTTCTCTACCGATGGATCGCTTGCCTCTGCGTCGTGTTGATCTACTTTATTCGCGTCTACTTGGTGGAAGGCTTCTACATCATCACCTACGCCATCGGAATCTACCTTCTCAACCTCATCATCGCTTTCCTCTCCCCTCAAGAAGATCCCGAGGCTTCGCTCAGTGGCGGGACTCTTCCTACTCGTAGATCCGATGAGTATCGCCCCTTCGTTCGCCGCCTCCCCGAGTTTAAATTCTGGTACAGATCTCTTTGGTAGCAATTGAGTGGAATCGTTAGATCTCAAATTGAGCATAGATTTATATTGGTTTGATGAGGTTCTCTCGGTTATTGTAGACTTTGATATAGTTTATAGGAACAGTTTATGCGGAGAAACTTGTTGATAAGTTTCATTTCTGGAATGTATATTATCATTTATTTGGGGATGATCAATCTTAATTTTCATGAAGTTAACGATTGGATTGATCTTATACTATGTTGTTTGTATAAGATTGCTTAAAGATGTCGTTGAATCTGGTATGATTTGCTAGCATTAGTCACTCTTATATGGTCTGCGGTGTGCAGTTTAGTCACCTTATTGGCCTAAGCGGTGAGTTCGTTATGGGTTCTAGTAGGGGTTTAGAGTACGGGATACTCTTATATACGTATTGTGCCTTGCTGTTTAAATCTAATCTGAAATAACTTGAACTTTCAAATTGATAAGATTTCTCTTTGTCTATGGACGTAATTGGTGAACCATGTTAAACCATTGTGTCGATTTACTTTCTTGAGTTTATTATTTGTTTTCGTATTATCTTCTCGAATCCGTTATAACAGATGCCATTTTGGATTTTGTTGCTGATTGATTGATGCATTTTATTTGTGTGTGTGTATTTCACTACTAGGTTATCGATCATTAGGGCATTTGTCATCGGTTTTATGATGACGTTCTTCGAGGTCTTTGACGTACCTGTTTTCTGGCCAATACTTCTTTTCTACTGGGTGATGCTTTTTATCCTCACCATGAGGAAACAGATACAGCATATGATCAAATACAGATATGTCCCTTTCTCTTTCGGCAAACAGGTATGTCTTTTTTTCTGTTATTCTTAGCAGAAACCGACATTAATAGTTTTTTTAACTTTTGTCCTTGGTTGCTTTTTCTAGCAGAAATACGGAAAGAAACCAGCTCCAGCAGAGAGCAGTGAATGATCAAATCAACCGTTCAGGTCAGCAGGTCTTTTCTTTTCTTTTGATTGCCCGAAGCTTTGTTAGGGATGAAGTAGAAGAAACAGTCAATCAGATAGACTCTCGTAGCCTGTCTCAGACATTTTTTTTGCTCTTTATCATCCTGACTATGTACTGGTTTCACCTGAAGACAATGTATCCTATTATTACAGTTTTTTGTTAGTGAGAATAATGTTTTTTTTGTACTTGGCCCTTTCGTAACCATTATGGTGGAAATATGGACAAAGCGGTTTGATGCATCCTTTGTTTTAAAAGAAGGGGAATTTAGATATGTGCAAGGTATTTTGGACAAAACATGAAGTAGAAGCTCAAAAGGAGTCAAACCCCTAAACGAAGGGGAGCCATATGGAAACGAGATTACAGAACGAAGACAATTATTAACGTAGAAAAAGAATAGACGAACAAACGGCTTGAACTCAAACGATGACCAGTGAGAATCGCCACTTCGGAAATCATGAGGACGAAAAGTTTATAATTTGATAATGGTGTGTTTCAGTGAATAAGAAAACTACTCTGTAACTCAGAATCTAGATGAGCGACTGGTTGATAAAATAGTTAGCCACCTACATATTCATCATTACTTGGTCATTACTTGGTTAAACGAAAGAATTTTGGACAGAAGTCCAGACTAATCTTTCATGCATGTAAACTGACATCTATGTGACCAACCATTGTAGTGGGAGAGTTTGAATCTTGGTTTATTAAAAGCAACATTTTCTTTATTAGCTATAATTAGATGTCAATCAACATAAACATTGATTTTTTAAAGAAAACTTTACCAAATTTTGACAAATATTATTTGCCAATTTAGATTGTGATATATATTATTATAATATGTATGTTTTTGGTTGGTGCTTAATAATTCAAATAGAGTATTGGTTTTAAAAATTGAAACTACAATATTCAAAAATCAATTAAAATTTGGAGAAAAGAAACAATGATATATATATATATATATATATAAGGTAAACCGGTTTGGGTTATTTGATTTTCTGGTTAGTTTAGTTTGGTTTTGGTTAGTTCGGTTTCTGTAATGTGTTTGCTGAGTTGAACAAAAAGTTTGAGTTTTAAGGTTTCAAATTTAAATAGTTTAGGTTAAAATTCGAGTAATTTTTGTACATTCAGTTAATTGGATTTTTGTGTTCACATTTAGGATAAACCATTTAATTTAGTTAAAAATTCTCAAAAAATTGAACTAACCGATATCATAATAAACTAAAAAATTGCTGATATGTCGGTTCAATAAACACCGTTTGATTTGAAATTACCAACATTTTTTTCGTACTGCGTTTATTGACTTATTGGTTCATATCTTTACCTACATCACAATATTTATCCATTGCTTCGTATTGGAACCGGAAAATATATAGTCTCGTTTACTCTGTTAAATTAGTATCCGAATTAAAAGATTGAAATATATGAACTTGTGATCCGTAGTTTTCCTGATAACACAAAATAACTAATGATGATACTGCAGTTAGGTTATAAAACTAGTCCGCCTAAATAAAATTTAAACTACTGATTTTTTATAGTCAGAAGTATTAGGTCAGCAAATTGTTAGCAGAAATTAAACATTGAGCTTTTTGAGTAATACCCATTTGATGTCACATTATTATCTGCCCCATGTAAAGCCTTAAAACTACATTCTCAACTTGAATCTGGATGTATTTAGTGTTCGAATGGAAAACTGCGACAAGTGCAGTTCTCCCGTACTTCTCCTGCATTGTTTTTGTCATTCACATTTTATGTATATAAAAGCAGATCAACCGGAATATCTGCATGCAGTTCAATATTTTCTATCTTTTTGTAAAAAGAACATGAGATCTACATGCAGATCTCACCCGCTAACATTTGCTGGTGTTGATCTGCTTTTTTCCACTGATAAATAATTTTGCTACAAATACTAACTTTAAATATATTTTTTAATTTATAAATAATTTATAATGATTAGCTCAAATAATAGTTCACAATAAATACTATTTGTTTCAATTTTAAAATTATAAGCAGTTCAAATTTAAAATTATAAGTATGATATCCTGTACATACAAAAACACAATATTTTTCAACAAAAAAATCATGTTTTTATATAAATATCAACAAAGAGTTTAATATTAGTAACTTGCCGGTTCTTCAGGGATAATTTTGATCAACTAAAACGAAATAGAAGAAGTACAAACATTTTATGAAAAATTCAATAAACATTTCGGCTGATCCTACATCTAAAAAATTTATTTTGATATTTTGGTATAATCAATTATTGTTTTAATATAAGATCTATAGTTTTTAACTGATTTTGTCATTCGTAATTTATGATAAACTGTTTTATCTGCACTTGTCTTACTTGATCTACATTTGTCCTGTTTAATCTGCATGAATCGTTTGATCTTCTTTTACCATTCGAAACCTAACATGAGTTTAGTGATGGAAACATTTGCTTTAGATGTAATCTCTCACTAAAATATCATTAATTAAAGGGAATTATGCTAATATAGAACAAAAAAATAGGTCTCATGTCCCCTTAGTATAAACCAACATCAATCTTGTCCTTATAGTATAAATTTTTCTATAATCCCAAAACTAACCTTAGTTAATCTAATTAAACATAACTTATATATTAATAAAATAAATAAATTAAAAACAATAATGATAAAAAAAATAAGGAAAAGGGAACAAAATCCTTCCCGTAACCCTAATTTGCGATTTCTCCCCTTTTGTCTCTCTCTCTCTCTCTCTCTCTCTCTCTCTCTCTCTCTCTCTCGACAAGAACACAAGGAGATGGGAAGGTGATTGTGTCTTATCTCTCTGCTTCTCTCCTCCGCGTCTCTGCTTATCTCCGCCGCATCTTCGCTTTTCTCCTCCTCTTCTCCTCTTATCTCATTCGGTTCTCCGGTGGTTTCTTCCACCTCCGCTTCTCTCCTCCACATTCGGTTCTCTCATCTCGTTCTCTCCTCCGCCTCCGCTTCGCTCCTCTGGTTCTCCGGTTTTCTCGAAAGGTCTGTAAAGGGCAAATTAAGTGTCATGATTCATGAACCTTAATTTGATGAGATTGATGTTTGCTGCAAACAAGTTGAGAACCGTTCGCGAGAACTGGTCATGAATCGCTGCTGGGTCCAAGCTACTTTCCGTCTATCAAACGGCACTAAAAACTCATCAGATACTGCCAAATTGGACCAATCTGAGGAGCATGAAAGAAAAGAGGTTGTTGATAGTAGTACTGACATTGACATATCCGATGGTCTTGCAATGGAAATGTTCGGAGCCTCCCCATCTAGCCATGAGGTAAGAGAGACTAAAGTAATCTCATTGTTTTCACATATTTTGTCCAACTTGTAAAGTTTATCTCTCTTTTTTTTTTCATAGATGAGCGAGTTTAAGCTAAGGGATTCTGTTTTCAAAATCAAACTTTTGTCCAAAGAATATCAACGCACTTGCAAATATACGGGGTTGATGCTATGGGAGTCAGCTCGGTTTATGGCTTCTGTTCTTGACAGGAACCCAAACATTGCTTCTGGAAAACGGGTATTGGAACTGGGTTGTGGCTGCACAGGAATTTGCTCCATGGTAGCTGCCAGATCAGCTAACCTTGTAGTAGCTACCGATGCAGACACAAAGGCACTTACACTATTGACGGAGAACATCACAATGAATCTCCAATCTTCTTTACTTGGGAAACTGAAAACAGGTTTACTTGAGTGGGGAAACAAAGAGCATATAGAAAGCATTAAAGGTTTAGCTTCTGGAGGATTTGAAGTTATCATTGGGACAGATGTTACTTATGTTGCTGAAGCCATTATACCTTTGTTTGAAACTGCAAAGGAGTTGATCTTGCAGAAAGTGGAGGTTGTTGAGGAGAAGCCAGCATTGATTCTATGCCATGTTTTCAGAAGGGTTGATGAACCTTCTCTCTTGTCAGCTGCGTCCAAGTTTGGGTTCAAGCTTGTAGACAGATGCGCTATGAATTCGAGGGAGTCTCCCCTTGGAAACATCGCTGACCGTTGGTTTTATGAAAATGATTTGGTCGCTGAGATCTTGAGTTCTGCTTTGCATATTCTCTACTTTCAGATGGAGTAGCCTTGGAGATTTGATAAAGCAAGTACTTATGATTTTCTCGTAGAATCTCAATCAACGAGTTTTCAAAGAACCTTACGTACTACGATCCATGTCATTCTAATTAGTGTGTCCACATCGAAGCATATGTTCATTCTCTTATGGAATCGCTAATTAACAATGTTTTTATGTAGATGTACTATTTGTTTGAAAATGCTGCTTGAAAACACATCATCAATCGATAAAGAATCCTCACCAAAACAAGAAGACACTTGCCTAAAAATGCTGCTTGAAAACTTAAATCCTTTCATGTGATCTCAAAGAAGCAACGAGACAGTGGTTCTAGATGTTCTGTACTACCTTAATTAACTTGTTTAAGATTTGTTCGATTACAGTTTGATTAACTGATTACACTTGTTTCTTGAAAACTATTGATGATGTGTTTCTATGTTTGTTACGATATTGTAACTGTTGACAACAATGACTCAGCGGATAACACAGAGAATACTTACAAGAGTGGAAGAAGCCTACGTTTCAAAGTTCACACAAGACAAGAAATTGAACATAGAATGTCGAAGATGATGTCTTACAAGCAAATTCATGAATCATGACCCCTAATTTGCCCTTTACAGACCTTTCGAGGAAAGATTTGTAAACCCTGCCTGAATTCATATTAAGTCTATGGACATCCATATAAACCCACCCAAATTGAGTAATGATCTTCGTAAGTTAGAGTACATCTTTCGAATGACGGGATCGATCGATCCCAGAAAGAGTCGGTCGATCCCAACGGTCGATCTCGATGATTAAACAAAAACATAAAAAAACACGGAGCAGAAACTGATCGACCTTGTCCAGTTCAGTCGATCTTCACCGATCGATCTATCATAGATCGATCGATCTCTATTTTATATCGATCGATCTTGATCCAAGATAATACTTCCAATATTTTTGAGTATGTTTAATATAGAATTGCAGGTTCTGTTCTTAAGCTGAATATGATGAGTACAACAATATGTCAAAAGTGGTATATATGCATCACACAGTAAAATTTGTGAAAAATCAAAAGAGAAACAATGGAGAGTAGGTTGGATGAAGAAGAAAAAATGGAGTCGACACATAAGGGATTTTGGAGACGTGAGAAATCAGTTTCCCACGTTTAAGGTAAGTGCAATTATTAAAAAAAAAATTTGAATATTTTACTAAATATTTTCCCAAAATTTCGGATTTTTGTTTAATCTTATCCGTAGAAGCTATCTTCTACATAAAGTAGAATTACTAACGTCCCACTGTAAGCAAATTCTACTAATAGTAGATGTTTGAGTTATTTGTAGATTGCGTATTCTGAGATATGTAGAAGTGGCTTAAAATATAAAACCCGCATTCAGTTATTTTGTAGAATTCTATATAAACGTAGAACATAGATTCTAAAATATGTAGAGTCCTATACAAACGTAGAATATAACTTCCTAAAATTGTAGAGTTTACTGTTTAACGAGGAATATGAGTTCTACTATGCGATTTTTCATAGAATATCAGTTCTACTCTCCGTAGAACGTAATTAAAATTTTTAATTTAATAAGTTTTTGAAAATATTAAAAATATCACTTTGTGTATATAGGTATTTCATCACTTCTCTGTATTTTTATATATTTTTCGAGTCATAGAATTATTAATTTTATTAATTTTTGTAAATAGAAAGGGTAAAAGGGAGAAAAAATGGACAAAAAGTGATTTATACTAATAGGACATGAAGGATGTTTTTTTGTTCTATATTAGCATAATTCCCTTAATTATTAAAACTCTTAAAATTAAAATGTGAACAAAAATGAAGAGAAAATGATTAAGAAATAGAGAGAAGGAACTTTCGGTCGAGGAAAACAAGAAAAGAAACAACAAACACGTTTCTGGGAGGAATGAATAGTGTAAAAGGGTTCGTCAGCTTTCTGTCTTTGACTTTCAGTGTATCTTCGGTCTTTCAGTGCAAAAGGTTTCGCAACTCTCTCTTATTTTCGCAGCGGCTCTAATTCTTTTATTTTAAAACTAACAGCTTAACTTAAAAATTGTTAGAAAGATGATTATTCATCTATAAAAACAGATGTCATGCTCTCATCAAATGTGTGTGATTATCACCATACACATGTACTCATCACATATATCTCTCATGAATATCTGAAACATTAACCGACTGTTATGGGTTATAAATAACCCTTCTCCTCTTCCTCTTTTGTACGATTAAAAAACAAGAAGAAAATTAATAATAAAAGAATCTTTTGCTCTCATCTCACTTTCAACAATATAATAAATTATATTTCATCACTTATTTATAACACGTTATCAGCACGAAGCTCTAATCCTATATCAAATAAGGTTATACCGGTAAGGTAAGGTTTAATTTATGTCTTTCAATAATTTTAATTTATGTTAATTTTATTATTGTTTCGGAGTAAGATGCTAGGCATTCTCCGTTTGCTTTTCGGGATGATAGGCGTTGCCTTCCCCGACTGATCGATAAGATGGCTATGCCGTCACAATCACAGAAACACGTGATAGGCTTTGCCTCCGTGAATAAAAAGATCAAAATGGATGACTATGTCACCTCGGATCTTTAATAAAAATAAAAGGTCAAAAATGGTAGACTAAGTCTCCTCGGACCTTGAATAAAAAGAAAAAGGTTAACATGGCAGACTATGTCTCCTCAAACCTTGATAAAAGTGATCAACATGGTAGACTATGTCTCCTCGGATCATTTGGAAGGCTAAGCCTCCAATTTTATTTATGTTCTTTAAATTTCTGCAATTTATTTTATGCCTTTAAATTTATGCCTTTAAGTTTATGCTTTTAATTTCTGCATTTATTTTATGCCTTTAATTTATGCTTTTAATTTCTGCATTTAAAATTCCGTCTTATAATATATTTTATATACTATACAGTTATCATGTCGAATCTGATAAAGCTCGAAATAAATGCCCTCGATATTACGGGAAATAATTATATGACCTGGGCAGTAGGTGCAAAGATGCACCTAAGAGGAAACGGGCTATTGGAAACCATCGATAATACAAAAACAGTGTCAGATGAGAAAAAGGCTAAAGCCATGATATTTTTACGACACCACATACATGATGGTTTAAAAGATGAATATATTACGAAAGAGGATCCTTTGTATCTCTCTCAATCTCTAAAAGAGAGGTTCGATCACCAGATATATGTGATCTTACCAAAAGCTAAACACGAGTGGATCCATCTCCGGTTCCAAGACTATAAAAGTGTTAGTGAGTTTAATTCCGCTATGTTCGGAATTACATCTAGGATGATGTTATGTGGGGAGAAAATAAGTGATTATGATATGATCGAGAAAACTCTCTCCACGTTCCATCCTGGAAATATAGTCCTGCAGCAACAATACCGGGCGAATGGATATACCCGTTACTCGGAGTTGATGCAAGTCCTCCTTGTAGCGGAGCAGAATAATCAACTCGTGACTTTAAACCATCAGGCTCGTCCCACTGGATCTGCTCCATTCCCTGAAGCGAATGTTGCATCATCCAGTTAGGATAATTGGAGAGGACGAGGTCGTGGACGTGGTCGAAATCATGGTCGTGGAAGAGGACAAGGAAGAAGATTCCGTCCATATGATAAAAGAAATAATAAAGATTTCCACGAAAATGAGAAAGGTGAAAGGGGCCGGGATGATAAAAAGCAAACATGAGTTTGCTACAGATGCGGTATGAAAGGGCATTGGCAACATGTTTGCCGTACGCCAAAACATTTAGCCGATCTGTATAAAGAATCTCAAAACAGAAAAGAGAAAGGAGGTGAAACAAACTTCATCTCTGATGAACCCGGGCCATCCTTTCATGGTTTAAATGATGATACTCATCTCGACGTATCAGATTTTCTGGTTGAACCAGAGAGTATCGATGAGTAAAAAAAAAGGATCGATGTGATATAAGTTTACTGTATTATAGTATCTATATTTTTTATTGTAAGATATATGTTATGTTTATTGTTTAATAATGTATGTTTTATTTTATGTGATATAAGTTTAATAATACATGTTTTCAGAAAGAATGCTAGACTTTGAGACTATGGATGGAGATATGTATTTGGCAGATAGTGCTACAACGCACACGATAATCAAAGATAAGAAATATTTCTCCAGTCTCAAAATAAAAGATTACGCTGAAAGCGTAAGTACAATATCTGGTAATGCAAAGATTATAATGGGCTCTGGAAGAGTGAAATTTTCAATGCCAAGGGGGACGATATTTGAAATAAGTAATGCATTATACTCCCCCGAGTCTAATAGAAAATTGTTAAGTTTCAAGGATATCCGAAGAAGTGGATACCATATTGAGACTATGTGTAAAGATGACATTAAATTTCTTTGCATTAAATCCGAGGGGAAACATATATTAGAAGAGTTAAAAATGTTATCCTCTGGACTATATTGTACAGAAATACACATGACTGAGTCCTATGCCGTGGTAAACATGAAGTTTACTGATACATTTAAAATCTGGCATGAGAGGCTAGGACATCCTGGTTCAGTCATGACGAGAAAAATAGTGCAAAATTCAAATGGCCATCCGTTGAAAGGCGGAAGAATTTTGCAAACGGGCGAATTTACATGTAAAGCATGTTCTCAAGGAAAACTTATAACTCGGCCATCACCAGCAAAAGTAGGCAATGAATACCAATATTTTTAGAAAGAATACACGGTGATATATGTGGGCCGATCCACCCACCGTGCGGGCCATTTAAGTATTTTATGGTATTGATTGATGCATCTAGTAGATGGTCAAATGTGTGTCTTTTGACAACACGAAATATGGCTTTCGCAAAGTTCATTGCCCAAATAATAAGGCTGAGAACGCAGTTCTCAGGATATGCCATTAAGAAAGTAAGGCTTAATAATGCTGGTGAATTTACATCGCAAGCCTTTAATGATTATTGTATGTCAGTGGGGAATGATGTGGAACATCCAGTGCCCCATGTTCATACACAAAATGGCATGGCCG